GAGATGCGAGGACCGGCGATGGCCCCGATGCGCGGGCAGCGGGGACGAGATATACGGGGATCGAGATATATAGAGAGGGAGATATAGAGTAAGAGAGGGAGATACCGCAGGAAAGAGAACCCGGCCACACCAGGGCTTTCCTCCGTGCTCCGACGAGTCCGACCCACCTGCACTGGCGTTGCTATATAGAGGCGGAGCAGTCTGCTCTAGCCTCACACGCTTGCCGCCCGGCCGCGCTCGCGCTCCTTCGGTGGACTCGGGTCGCTGTGTCGTGTGACGTGTGTGTGTGCGGCGCACACCGCCACGAGACCGTGCCGCGCGAGTTTCGCGAGAGAGGAGTGTTTTGCTCAAGAGAGCACAAGACGGCACGAGTTCGATTTCGAACACGCACGCCCTCGTTCACCGAAAATCGCCTCAGCTACTTAGAGCCCTTCCAGCGCTTGGAGTGTAGACTCTGCGTCAGCCCCGCGGGGAGAAGCGCATCGCAGTCCCACTTCCAGCGCGCCCCGCGCCCCCGAGCCAAGCCCTCCGCGCGCACGCAGATCTCGCGGAGTGTCACGTTGTAAGCGATGCCGGCCGGCGGCCACAGCAGCGTGCGGCGGTAGTGCCAGAGCGCCTTTTGCTTTTGGACGAGCGTCTCCTCGGGGAGGCGGGCGAGGAGCGCAGGCAGGCGCGGCAGCTCGCGCTGGTCCACGCCGAGCAGCGCCATCCCCTCCCAGGGCAGCACGCGATCAAACCACGGCGACACCTCGCTCGAGGCGAGGAGCGGCACGCAGCCCGCCAAGACGGACCAGAGCAGCCGGATCCCCCAGCCGATGCCGAGGGGAGCGAGGCAGACCCGCGCGTCGGCCCAGTCGTCCTCGTAGCTGGGCGAGCGGGCAACCACCTTGAATCCGTCCGCCTTGCGCAGGTGCTTCCACACGAGCTGCCGCACACCCTCCGAGTACGCCTCCCGGCCGAGGTCGTCGTCGGTACGCTGGTCGAAGCCGGGCAAGTGCGAGTCGGGCACGTTGCCCGCAAAGAAGAAGCGGAGCGCGCGCGCCGCCAGCGGCCGCCGGCCGGCGCGCAGCAGCCGCTCCTCGGTCGCGAAGGGCAGCTTGGGAGGGGCGGCGACGTCCTTGCTCGCGACGCCGCACCGCTCGTTCGTCCGCCGGTACCCGCCCGACCTGTTCGCCTTGATGTAGTGCGCCACCGCCACCGAGTGCCGCGTCTCCCTCAGCTGGTTGAGCTCGCAGCCGCCTCCGTCGGCCGTCGACCACCAGAGGTGGTTCGCGCCGCCCGAGGCGGTCCACCACGGGTGGTGGGTCGCCACGTGCCGCTGCGCGTGCGAGTAGTACTCGCGCAGCGCCTCCATGTTCGTCGCGAACGCCGGGACCAGGAAGAGCGCCGCCTCGGCCGGCGAGCGGGCGAGCGAGGGCGCGTCGGCGAGCAGCGCCTCCAGGAAGGCGTGGTGCGTGTTGAAGATTGGGTCGCGGTCCGACGCAAAGGCGCGGCGGCGCAGCACCACCGGCGGCAGGTCGTACACGTACACCGTGGGGCGCCGCCCGCCGTCGCCGCCGCCGCCGCCGCCGCCGCCGCTGCCGCTGCCGCCGCCGCTGCCGCCGCCG